CTATTTTAATTTCCCTTACTAATCGCAAGTGTGACCGAGAATTCCAAAGAAGCCATTTAATGAAATACCTCTGATGTTCTAGAAAAGATTTTATTCATGAAATTTCGACCTAAATGGAATATATCTCCAGAGATACTTATAATCCAAATGTTGAGATTTCTGTAAACAGTGTTTATTTGAAAAAACTCGAGATTGTGTTTTCCGTTGCATATCTGACTCTTGGACATTTCAGGTCTAAACTGATACTTTGATTTCTTTCAAGGTGAATCGATCAGCTTACTTGCTACTCTTCATCAGGATACGTTGGTTAGAAAAAGTATATGCTTTCTGAAGAACGTGAGTTTGTCAACGACACTTTTGCTGAACACAAGTTCAGTTCTGGTCACATTTTACCCGCCGAAATATTTATTAAAGAATTATTTTCCTAATCTCAAGATGAAGCATCGTAAAGAACCTAAGAATCCATGAATAACAATCTCAAATGTCCATTCTAAAACGAATCGTTCACTGAAGTTAGATGTGTAAATCAATGAGTGGCAACAAAGTGCTCTAAATGTTTATCGTTCGTCGTCAATACTTGAAATAATAGATATGCACCATGTTGGAAGTTAATCAGTTCCCAGTATCTTAGTTTCACAGAAGATCACTCGTGACCTAAATATCGCAATAATAAAATCTGAAAATATGAAGCTGAATGTTAATGAGAGCATCAGTACACCTAAAGATTACAAGTAGGCTTTCATGACGAGTCCTAGCCAGCATGAAAAGTGAGCCAAAAAGGGTTTTATATTCACTAAGTCCAAGCAACTAAAAACTCCACCAAACAGTCGTTCCGTCAAACTACACGACTCTTCAACATTTCGCGTCCATAATCTTGACTCAGCGTTCTGAAGGTTAAGTATCCCTACACAAAATCATTTAACCCGCATGAGAGGGTAAGGTTACTTACCAGTAAGCAGTCGCAATCAAATGTTCTCAGTTACGTTAGACGATGGAACACAATCTGTCTGAAAGACTACCGAAGGAATTCACTCAATACTTGAAAGACTAAACAAGCATCATTTCGGACGTTAATCGTTAATCAATTAGTTTTAAGTATCTCAGTTTCACGGAAGATCACTCGTGACCTAAATATCTCAATAATAAAATCTGAATATATGAAGCTGAATGTTAATGAGATCATCAGTATCCCTAAAGATTACAAGTAGGCTTTCATGACGAGTGCTAGCCAGCATGAAACTTGCATCAAGAAGGGTTTTCTATTTACTAAGTCCAACCAACTAACAAAACAACTACTTACACTAGTGGTCATATCGATAAGATTTGATGATCAGTAGAGAATTAGACAAGCATAACATTGATCACTACTGAATCATCATTCAATAGTATAATACAAATTTGTTAAAATAAATAAACCTCTTCTACTGAAAAGACTAATTCATTTTAACATGAATTTGTGTTGGTCATTCACAGAACTCATCTGATCATTATGCACGATATCATTCATTAAGTCTATTCCAATTATTCCATAGTTTGTATAAATATCGTTCAATTTCGAAAAGTCCATTAATTACATATTCACAAGTCATTAATCATGACAATAAAATTCTCTGTCACTTTATTTCTTCAAAGGTGTCTTGCTTCATTTGATGACATTCTGCAGTATAAAAGAACTTCTTCTCAGATGATTCACTACAAAATTTCGAAAGTTCAGAATACCTGAAAAATGATTTATTTGTGAACTTCTAGAGAAACCTTTTCAGTTCCATTTAATTCTAACTTGGTTAAAAGTATCATATGTTGACAAGGTGAAATTCATACTTACAACCCTATGTCTGTCTGTCTATTTCTATTATGAATTTTCCCACATCATAATAACAATACAACACTGATTCATTTTGTATTGTTTGTTCCAATCTTCCCATTGATGTTTAGGAAGTTAATTCATCAGCTTGTTATTAACATATGTGTATCTTGTTTAGATTGCTCAATATTGCATTGCGTCACATAAATTATCAACAAAGATGGATGGCGACTGGCAATGTACACTAGGATGCGCGTTTCATCGTGATTACAGTTTAAAATTACAAAAACACTAATTTAGATAAATCAATAATGATAAAATATAGATGAAGAAAAAAGGGACAAAACTCAAACATACCAATTAAGTGAACTAGGGACAAGGAAGGATGGGAGGGTGGATTTCCCTTGGAAACATTATTCAGCGGAACTCATTGGCTCAACACCTAATGGAAGCTACATCTATTGACTCATTCAAAAGAAAGTTAGATCAACTGAGATATCATCATCGCCAGGACCAACACAGGACATCACAACTCCGGTCCTTTCCAAACTGATACTGAAACTGGAAGAATCATTAATTTCAGCCTACCGTGGTGAATTGAACCTATCAATTGTTCCACTTGATTACACAATCTGTACACCTAACCTCACTATTCATATTTTACACTTCAACTACACATGATCGCCAATTTTATTCCAATCAAATTGTATCGTCTTACATCTTGATCATTCATTTCTTTATTCTCAATTCTAATTAGATTGTTTTCAAATGAAATGTTAATGTGATACTACTCCTGGAAATTAATCGTTTTCTTATATACTACTATTAGTAATGATAAGTAGTATTATCAATAATACTATATTATATTAACACAACACATTACATAACAGAATACTCGTAATGATACAATTTAAAGCTGATTACTGGGAACCGTATGTAACGTGCTGTCCAACCAACTATTCTCAAATACATCTAACTAATACTTTTCTACATTTTCCAATATTTCCAGCCATTCTTGATGGAATTACTTGAAAAACGTGGTTGTTAAGAGGATGAAAACTGTAGTCTATTGATTAGTGATGATGCTGATTTCAATCAAATAATTTAAGTCTTTCAACACTAAACTTATTGATTAATATTCTCAAACTATCTATCTTAATGACTGCCATACATTATTTGAGAATGAGTGAGTTAAATCATATTTGCTAACTACACTAATGTATGAAAAACTTAGACGATAGATCACTTTACTTAATTATTAATACCTGTTTTCACTCATGGAGGAACATGGGCAGCCCGATTCTCGACAGAGTGTGTTATTTGACCTTCCTCCTTTCTGTTTTCCTTAAGGATCTCAAGTGAGGGTTGCCTCATCATGCAGATTGGTAATTTCCTCATTGTGTGTTCTATCTACTTTCAACGTCTTTTCTTAGTTCCCTCTTTGTTTGTTTGTTCTATTCTACAGTACACTGTTGCTGATGGCATCCGCTCAGCAGACACTGGGTATCTTACGTAGACGATTGTTTATAAATACTTGTACATGTTGGATGGTGTTTGTAATAGTTCTCCACGTTCCAGCTTTTTACAATTGAACTGTCTTGACGTTCGTATTCAAGATTGTGAGTTTGATATTGCTTGACTGTTGTTTTGAGTTCCGTATGTTCTTTGAATGTGGGAATACCACATTTACTGTGCTAATCGCTGCCTTCACATCTACATCGAATTCTCCTTGTTCATCGAAGACACTTACCATGTCATATACATGAACGTTTCCACCTGTTGCAGGGTTTCTCCATCAAGTGTGATTGGATGAGTTCGTGTTCTCTGTGTTGTATTTGAGGATGATGGTTTTTCCCTTGTATATGTTGAGGCCTATTGCTGTAGCTGCTACACTAGTTGTCTTGATCTGCATTTTTTGGTGTATATGATATAGAGGAGCTACGTCGTCTGTGAAGTCTAAATCGTCTAGTTGCATCCAAGCTGTCCACTGTATTATGTGCCTCCCTTGAAGTGTGGAGGTCTTCATAATCCAGTCAACCCCCAAAAGAAAGTGAAGGGAGTTAGCAGCCTTGTAGCTGTTATGTACCCTGTATCTGTTTTAAGGATACTGCTAGTCCTAACCCCGAGTTCAAGAGGAAGGTTGGGTATGGGGTCAGTAACCCCATTCCGCAGAAATCAACATTGCTAAAGAAGCACCAACCAGAATGAACAAATTCAACAGCCACGCAATGGTCTCAAAATACTCTTGGTCAGTGTCAACAGTCATATCCATCTTCCAAGTGATATATTTGGTGTTCTCCCTTTCCAGATGACGCTTGAGATTAGCTATCGACGACAATGATGTATTTAGGGCTGTAATAACTTGTGATCAACGATTAGACGGCAGTGAATTGTCGATCGGACCAAGGACGAAACGTTTACCAAGCCTACGTAAGGACAGTGACGTCGAGTGATCAGAGAGCATTGTAAACTCAGGTTTATGGCGTGTCGTTTATCATTTTACAAATATGTTTCGAACGCTGGGTAGAGTATTAGCTAATCACCCCATTAAGGTCATAATAAGATAATTCTGCATTGTTTATCACAGCAAATATTGTCCGGTTTTTATATTCCTCCTAAAGTTTCCTGTAGTTAATATTCAAAAAGCAATTTCAGATGAATTATGTCATGACATATATCTGTTATCCGGACACAGACCTTTCGGTCTCTTGTATCGACGACATCCCACCATAAACAGTGTATTACGAATTGAGTGAAGATGGAGAATTCAGACCACTGGATTGCAATTCATGTCGGTACTCGAAGATCTTCAGACAGTTACAGTCTAGAAGACCCTGACAAAAATTTAAAAAGTCGTCCAGTGCTTCCTGTTTCTCAATGTTTCCTTCGCTTTACTTACTCTGTGATTCACGTTATTCGCAAAAGCAAGATTGAAGGTGAATAGGTACGCTTAGTACCAATCAGTTCATATCAAGCTGACTATCATATGGGCTGAATAGGCTCAATAATCACAAGACAATATCGTAACAACGATTATCTTTATCTAGTAAATGTTATATTATAACGTGCTAGCTCATAGTGTTGTACATTTCTTTCGGTTCTATTTGACAGCAATTAGTATTTGTGATAAGGTTCCCCACATATACATTGAGCACCACATACACAGTTTAAACAACAACCCTTTAAATTATGATAGCTGGATGAACAAACAAACTAATGTCAATGATTATATACAGTTATTAGTGAATGAATTAAGTCTATTCCATGTAAACGTCAATAAAGAGGATACATCGCCAACAGGTCGAAAACCAGTGGATGAAGCAATTATTAAGGCAATCCAAACATCTAGAAAGTTAAATTTTATGGTCTCTTCAAGAATACCTGACGCAAACAGATAAATAGAACACAAAATAGAGAGATGAAAGCGATTACAACTGGGTTTTTTCTTTGAATTTTGTAATTTAACCCACCTATCAATTTAGATTTTGATCAGTCGAAAAACGACAATATTAATCATGAGAAATGAATTACATTTAACTTTGTCTCGAAGAGTTCTGATTTTATGACGTGTTGAAAACGTTGGATATTTGAAACTGCATGTATTTAATAGCCAATAACTGGTGACATCACTGAATATCTTGCCAAAAACCACAGGAGATGATACTGGGGTCAACTGGAATAAACCCGTATGCGGAGCAAAATGCAAGAACTACGAGTATTAAGGTGATTGAAAGTTTAATTACTTAACACGTAAAATCGACCTGCATCGGGAAGCAGTGACCGGATAACACATGTCAGTTCTATACATTTATATTCCATACCATGAAATTCTATCATCAGCAAGCAACTTCTCTTTTTCGACCTAGTCACACTATGCTACTAGTTTTACAGGAGGGTTTGCAAGACTGCAAGCGAATTCATTTGACATTTTTATGTCATCAATCAACTACATAAACACTCCATAAATAAGTTATATTAATCGGTGCGAGAAGTCAGAACGATATTCATTTGTTTCAGGTCTCATATTGTCTATGTCTAAAAATCAGTGTAAACATAAACTTTAACTGAAGCGCCTTGATGCAGATATGGTCCATTTTTATTTATTTCTTTGTGACACGTTAACCAAGTACAGATTGGCATATTCAGCTTTGATGCACACTTGAACCGAAATAACTAGCAACACTGTTCAGAAGCTCAGGTAGAGTTGATGATTCAAACCAGTGATCAAGAGATTGAAAGTCAGAATCTTTTAACCACATAATGTGTTATTGTTTCACTTTTTACATGAATCCGTGAATGAAGTTACAACCACATAGCAAAATGTCACAATTAAAGAGCTTTGTTTGTTTTGTTTTTTTAAACTATGAAATCCAATCTTTCAGAACATAACACAAGTTTACAGAATCAAAGTATGATCTATCAATTCGTAGAATAAATATCTTGTATAATAATCAAAACAAACCCAAATTTGATCCAGATGGAACATTCTCTCTATAAAGATAAACAAATGGAAAACATTAGAAGCAACAGATTTGCATATACATGAAATGAACAATTTCAAAGATACAAAAAATAGAAGAAATAAGAAATAGGTGCAAACGATTATCCCCAAATACGGAAACATGGTAGAATTAAACACGAGTAAAACAAACATAACTTTAGTAAACTTTGAAAAAGACAACAAGAAGTATATGAAACTAAGCGGGTTATGTATGAAGGGTAACACACACACACACCAAAATATTGATATAAAACAGCAAATATGACAACAATATACATTGAAATTTAAATGATTCAATTGATAAACGCGAAAGCAAGAGAAAAACAAAACAATCGGATCAGAACATTTGATTCTTTTTTTGAATAACCCGCGCTCATATTGTACACTGAAAGACTTATCACATATATGAATTAAGAAGAGTGAAAGAAATCGAATTCTAAAGTGGACAGTAAATTACAGAACAGCAATAAATACCATCTGTCTCTATCTATCTATATAAATAGACACGCAAAGTCACTCGTTTGACACGAACCAAACGTCTAACACGTGTACAGTAATAACAATAATAATAGATACAAATTTATAGTACAGAAATGGAAAATAGTCCATACAACAGACAAAGAGATAGGCAATTAAACGTTGCTTTAAATCTTTCCGAATCATTTCTAAGAAACAATGAAAAACGTAGTCAACAAGTACAGTGAATAGAATATCTAATAAATAATAGGAATGAAGAAAACAATAGTAAATACATATTCATATACATGTATATAAATGCACGTAACTCCGCCTGTAGATCTTCTGGAGTTGCTGCCGGTCCCAAGCCCGGGTAAAGGAGGAAAGTTGGGTATGGGTTAGCCGATTCATCACGTAGAAAACTAACTCGCTAAAAAACGCTAACCAGAAAAATTATATACATGCATGTAGATGGTGTTGGAAAAGTGATATATTCAATCGCCCTTATCAGTATATTCACGTATACTAAAATAAATGAATGGAAATAATAAACTTGAGATATCACAAAGACTAAGACATAACGCATAACGGTAAACAAATAGTTAAAGTAATTGAATTCAAACTTTTTACTCTGAAACCTAAGTCTTATATATCGACAGAGAAATATATGCATACAAAAAAGTGAATTATCAAAAGCGGGTTTTGTGGAAATTTTTAGCGATTTTATAGTTGACTTCATGAGTCAATTAAAGCTAGATAATAGAAAACCTGGGAGTACTGTAAGGCCGTATCGTCCTAGCACAGGACTACTCAGCGGTGTGCCTCCACGATTCATCCCGTGGGAGTCGAAACTAGGATCTATCAGTCTCGCGTGCGAACGCTTAACATCTAATTTATTGCGTCGGCATCCAAAGGTGTTAGTATATAGCCTCAACCAATTCACCAAATTGTGTCACAGTCCACCATTGTTTTCAGTGAGTTACTATCTTACTACAGACCTGGTTAGACTCCAATGGTCATGGCTTCTCACCAGTACTCTAGGAATTACCTCTTGAAGCCAGTCATTATTGAGCGCATGATGATTATTATCAGAAGGGGCTGCATGCCGGCTTAGCGCTCTAGAGGTTAAGCGTTCACGCGCGAGACCGATAGATCTTGGGTTCGACTCCCGCGAGAGGAATTAAGGATGCGCATTGCTAAGGAGTCTCGTAATAGAACGAAGCAGCCGTCCAGTACTTCCAGGTTTTTTATTACCTAGCTTCAATTGACTCATGAATTCAACTATAGAAAAATAAGATGTCAAAAGTACTAGATGATAACAGTACTAAATTTCTGGTTCATCGTTTACCTTCAACTATATCACTCACAAGCAAATCATTTGAATCACAGATGACTCTTCATTCTTCTGTTGGTTCATTCCCAATTCTTAACAATTTTTTTATATTATTCATTATCAACCAGTATATATAATTATTAGGTCCCGACAAGCATCATGAATCGTAATTTAGGGATCTATTTATGGACCAATACTAAACGTATACTCTTATCGTATGATTGATAAATAACTAAACTATCCATATTCACATTCCTACTACTATAAGGTTTATTTTGACCTATAAACCATTACTATACGTTATACCATTCTTGAATTATGCCCTGTCTATTAGTCACTGCCTCCCACATTCACAGCCACATTTGACCAAATTTTGTACAAATGTTATTTTCCATTTAATACTACGTTATGGTCATTTTGATTGGTATATAAACTCAGTAAGTTTGAAATATAATGATTCATATCGCAGAGGCTTGGATTGGTGTTCTGGACTTAATTGCCCCCAAATGCTCTGGTATGGCTGAGCGAGAGATTCGGGCTCGCCCTCCGTCTCGAAATGCTCTCACACGGCCACGCGTATACAGCCTCTGCCAGGAAAGTCCTACTCACTGCCTTCCCATGACGGGGGTATTGTTTACGAAAATGAGAGGACTAAAAGCGAATATCCGGCGCTTCACCCGGATCACAAACCAAATCAATGTGCACATGGTCTCCAGTATCCTGCGGGAACAAATGGAGTATGAACCAATCATTGATCACCGGCTGCCATGGGACTGCATCTCTTCACGATGCTCCACTGCCTTGTGGATCAGACCTCTAGGTCAAAGGCTCGGGGTGTGGCCCCCTAAGAAAACCACTTGCTCCGGTCTGGGCACCCGAGCAGTATCACAGCCCTCACATAAATATGATGAGCTGTCGATAATTATGGAAAATACCAAATTATGCAGAAGTCCGCAAGCAACTCCAACTCTTGAAACGCTACAAATCACCGTGCCCAAATTACTGACCTCCGGCTCTTTTTAAAGATGGTGATGACTTCCTGACTAAGGAACTGACGACGTTGTTTACAAAGGTGTGGGAGCTAGAGAGTATACCAACATCATGGAATGAGTCCATAGTTGTCCATATATTTAAAAAGTGTTCACGTCGTTTCTGTAACAACTATCGGGGATAAGTCTACTTCCGATTGCGTCCAAGCTATTGGCTTAAGTCATACTTCGTAGGTTGTTCAAAACTCGAGAAAGATTGACTCGCCAGAGGCAGGCTGGGTTTCATTCTGGTCGAGGATGTATTGATCATATCTTCACCCTCCGCCAAATGTTAGAACACCGCCATACGTATCAAAGGCCAACAATCGTAGTGTTTCTTGACATCAGGGCTGCCTTCAATTCGTTGGACAGGACTGTTCTCTGGGATTGTCTATTGAAGAAGGTTGTGCCTGAAAAGTTTACTAACATCCTAAAAGCCCTATATAAAAATATCTCAGGCAGAGTGAGGGCATACAACCACTTCTCTCCACTGTTCCATTCGAGTAGTGGGGTTAGGCAGGGTGGCCCAATCTCACCATTCCTCTTCAACTTTACCATCGATGACATTCTGGAAACAGCTCTGATGAATGTAAGTAATAGTGGTGTGGATCTGTTGCCTGGCGAAAGATTTCTCGACCTTGAGTATGCGTATGATATTATCTTGCCGTGCGACAAGGCCCAACGCATGCAATCCGCACTTAATCAGCTGGCAATCAGTGTCCATAAGTATGGTATGTGCTTTGCACCTTCGAAGTGCAAAGTACTTCTACATGACTGGCAGGATTCTTATCGTGCACTCACTTTGGATGGTTAACAGATAGAAGTAGTCGAGAAGTTCGTGTATCTAGGTAGCTGCATAAGTGCTGGTGGTGACGTGAGTGATGAGTCAGTCAGTCAGTCAGTAAAAACGTAGAACTTTGTACGTAGGTACATCAGTTCAAGTTGCCACACCACCTTAGCACAGAGATGCAGTAGTCGATTCAAATCTTGTAGTGGTAGAGGTAATAACAGTATAAGCAGTAATCGGGAAGATTAGTGTTTCGAGATGTTATCTAAAGAGTTTAATACAGTGAAATAAAT